AACTTGACAGCTTACGGTGTTGAAGGAAGTTTCTGAAACCGAAATGGAGTATTTTTTGGGCACCCATCCGAGGTCCACGTTGACCCATTTGATAAGGACTGCATTGTCAGCGATAGCATGCGCCGAAATATTCCGGGGCATCGCTAAGATAACTGCAACAATGAAGAATCAATTGTCAAAGACCGAGTTCCAACTTCCGTTCCAAATATTTAAATTGTCTTAAAATTGATAGCTTTTAAAATTGTATAGGAGTAAATTTATCAAGGCATTGCGAGCATTCGCAAATAATTAGCTCGCAGAATTTTCCAAATAGGAGGTGAATTTCACATTGTTCCGGTAGTTTCACTTCGCATTTCACATTATTGGGAAAACTTTTCAAGCCTCATTTTTTCAATGTCTTCGTGCAATCGAAGTTCGGTATTTGTGGTTTAATATTGGCATGCCTTATTTCATTGCGTGCTATTCAAAGAGCATAATTATTTGATTTTGTAGATATAATTACAATCAAATTGAGAAATCGTTATCGTAGGCGTGATGCTGGTGAAATACTGGACTTCAGTTATGTATATGGTAAAAAATAATACATTTTCATAGCGAAAAATAATATGCCACTAGAGAGCGAACACATCTTGGCATAGAACAATTGCAGGATTTAACCAAGAAATAATATTCGATGCGTTGGACTTTTACCCAAACCCAATATTGTACTGTAATTATTGAATCCCGTGAGGCGGATTTTATTTTGCGTAAAACTTCGTAAGATGCACGCTTACGTAGAAATCACGTGTAAGTAATTCAGAATTTTCACCTTATAATTCTTTAAAACGGATCAGTCTACACGGTATACATTTGCTTCAATTCAATTTCTAAAAAAAAACATGAAAGATGTCATTGGTCACAGCGCAGATATTTTGAGTGTTTGCATGGTTTTATATTTTCATGACCTAATTTGCCTTCACTCTTGAAATTTGGGTTTGTTATACATGCCATTTATTGAAACCGCGAACGGCGCCGCGGCGGACCTGATCTTCACCACCGGCGGCGACCAGGTCACGTCCACTTGACCGAACGACTGCATCGTCAATGAGGGCGCCGTTACTGGGGCGAAATCTGAGCCAAAAAAATTTTGTATAAATATTAAAATCTTTTAAAAAAAAGGAGAGAAAAAAATTCGAGAAGTGGTGTGACCCGTGACTTCTCTGGATGACGAACAATTGGGGTTAGCCGGAAAATTGTAATTCTTATTGGATATTATCAACGACGGTCACAAAAATTGATGCTTGTTTTTTTTTCATTGATGATACGCTTTTGCTGAAAAAAAAACACGCATGAATAATGAGCATGGAATAAAAGGAGGGATCAGAGACGCACATTCCATGGACTCGTACGCAGTTTCCAATTCTACACTCTTCCCAGAATTTAAAAAATATATACGGTACATATCATGCATGCCAATTGTTTAGACCATAACAATTCCAAATAATATGCTTCTTTCTTTACTTCAACTCGATCACGATATTCACGCAATAGATCAAAAGCTTAGCTGCTTTCATGTTGACCATAAATGTGCAAATCTGTCTGTCACTTGACGAAATGTTTCACTGAAAAATAAATTCATTTCTATGCATTTGATTTGATTAAGCTACTTTTTGTGCAGGGGATGTTTAACAATTTTGGAGAGCTTTTGACTGAATTGGCACTTGGAAATTTGCCAGCAGTAATAATCACTGCATAAAATTAACAGGTTACTGTGTACAGCTCGCTTTTTTTTGCCTTTCGCAGATTGGTTGCTCTAAATCAGTCAACCTCTTGATGGAATGGTTTTCCGTGGGATTTTCCGCAATCAAAAAAGATCGTAAAGCCACTCTCAATGATCATGAATACTAACCGTTGAAATTTCGCGGAAGTGAAATCAATGTCAATGATGAAGAATATAAACCGTAAGAATTTAACGGAATCCCATCAAATCTACCCATTTAAAATTAAATGAACTTCTGGCATTGGATTTGAGTTTAATCGTTTCGTCAGACTTGAATCTTGAACTTGCACAGCTCAATTATTGTCTAAAATATTCAAAACACTGCGGAGATTCATCAGAGATGATGGCTGTTTTAATTTATTTTATTATATAGGAAAGATTGCATAAGCATAAATATCGCTGAAACCCTTCCAGGGGATCGTACTCATCGTTTGTATATAGTCTAGCATTTCATGGGCTTCCTCACAATCGTGACAAAATATTTATAGCTTTCCTAGGTTAGCTTTCCGCTGCTTTCCTAGGTCACACTTTGTTCTAGGATATAAAAAACGGAAATCGATTACCGTATACATAAAATTCTAGGATAAATTCGAAAAATTAAAGTTGTTCCAAATAACGAACCTTCATCAAAATATTAGAATAACATATTCACATCCTTGGAAAGCCAGATTAATCATGAGGATTACTTGGACTTCAAATATTCTAAACTTGAAGCATAACTTCAAATGTTTAAACGTGCTGTTCTCAGACCTTTCTATGAATATTCTGCAATTTTCCGGAGAGGCAAAAAATATAACACAAAACCCAAGGGTTAGTTTATTTTTCCTCATACTTGAACCGCTGTAATTTTGATTTTCGATTATAATTTGCTGATCACTTGTAATTATTGTAAATTACATAATTTATCACGGGAATCAACTTCGGAAGATATAGTCACAGTAAAGCGTTGTAACCAGTAAATAAACCTCCCAAAAGCTTTCATTTCTCGGGATGTGAACTTTTCTCGTTTCGAAGTTAATGTCGAGAATTTTGCCGCTATTTTCTAAAATAGAAAAGTGCCCAGGAAAGATACGTACTGACGAGCAGTTTGCATCAATCTTATTCATTGTTTGAATGAAAAAGATAATGAAATATTCTTTACCTGTGACAGGACAGCCAATGAGCTCGAAACGAAAGCAGACGCTGTTCGGATTCGATGCTTGCATGATCACATTCACCTTGAACTTGATCCTCACATACTTGGTTCGGATTAGCCCGACTTTTTCGCCGAACGAGTGGATTTGGATGCTATCCGAGGATACTGCATCATCCGTTACTAAAAACTAAACAAAAATACATAATAAATCATTAACATCAAGATTCTCAAGAAATCAATGAATCAGATCTCTCAAAAAGGAACTCAGTGAAAAAAGAGCCGGAGAGTTTTGATTGAAATGAGGTCAAATTTTCAAGAGGCAATTAAAACACGGCAATCAATGGCTCTGTGGAAGGCTTCCTTGATTATTTTGTGATGGGTACATTAAAATTAACTTTCCCCAGACAAATTATTTCTTTTTTTTTCGCCAAGTTCACGAAATTTGCACAATGTCAAAAAAAAACTCGAGAGCTCAGACCAACAGCAAAACAATTGCTGTCAAGATCAAAATAGGCTCGAACACATGAAATATATTCGAAATCTCTCAGCTGCGCAGATGGTCAATGCATTTCAAATTACTGTTGGAAATCTTTTGCGGTCAATTAGACTGCTTCTGATAATTTAAATTCAGTTTCCGCATGACAAATAGATTGCATCAGGCACTATTTGAACCGGGTTCCAGAAAAGGTATTTATTTTGGGCGTTTTTATTTATTTATTCACGAATTAAATTGGGGAAATTTACTTGAAAAATGGATGCCTCAAAAAAAGCTAATCATGCATTTCATTTAATTTTTGCATTTAAGTTTGTAGCGTCACCCAAACTTCTCTCATATATTCCCGATGATAAGCACGAACGAAACATTTTCAAGTCAGGCTTTACAAGATACACTTTTTTACTGTTTATGTTCATTTTTCAGTAAATGGAATGTGCCAACTTTCATATTTCCATGGGGATGTATCAAGCAAATAAATCTCAAATGTGGAATCATGAAACTTATTTTTTTCCTGAGCAAT